TAATCTCTACCACACTTACCTCTATTCCACTTACCTCTACCCCACTTACCTTTACCCCCACTTACCTCTACCCCACTACCTCTCCCCCACTAACCTCTACCCCACTAACCTCTACCCCACTAATCCCTACCCCACTAATCTCTACCCCACTTACCTCTACCCCACTTACCTCTACCCCCACTTACCTCTACCCCACTTACCTCTACCCCACTAATCTCTACCACACTAATCTCTACCCCACTAACCTCTACCCCACTTACCTCTACCCCACTTACCTCTACCCCACTTACCTCTACCCCATTAACCGTAACCCCACTAACCTCTACCCCACTAACCTCTACCCCACTAACCTCTATCCCACTAACCTCTACCCCACTAATCTCTACCCCACTAATCTCTACCCACTAATCTCTACCCCACTAACCTCTACCCCACTAACCTTTACCCCCACTTACTTCTATCCCACTAACCTCTACCCCACTAACCGCTACCCCACTGACATCTACCCCACTAATCTCTACCACACTAATCTCTACCCCACTTACCTCTACCCCCACGTACCTTTACCCCCACTTACATTTATCCCACTAACCTCTACCCCACTAACTGCTACCCCACTAACCTCTACCCCACTAACCTCTACCCCACTAATCTCTACCACACTAACCTCTACCCCACTAATCTCTACCCCACTAACCTCTACCCCACTTACCTCTACCCCACTAATCTCTACCACACTAACCTCTACCCCACTAACCTCTACCCCACTTACCTCTACCCCACTTACTTCTACCCCACTTACCTTTACCCCCACTTACCTCTACCCCACTAACCGCTACCCCACTAACCTCTACCCCACTAATCTCTACCCCACTAATCTCTATCCCACTTACCTCTACCATACTAACCTCTACCCCACTAACCTCTACCCAACTAATCTCTACCCCACTAATCTCTTACCCACTTACATCTACCCCACTTACCTCTACCCCACTTACCTCTACCCCCACTTACCTCTACCCCACTAACCTCTACCCCACTAATCTCTATCCCACTAACCTCTACCCCACTTACCTCTACCCCCACTTACCTCTACCCCACTAACCTCTACCCCACTAATCTCTATCCCACTAACCTCTACCCCACTAACCTCTACCCCACTAACCTCTCCCCCACTAACCTCTACCCCACTAACCGCTACCCCACTAACCTCTACCCCACTAATCTCTACCACACTAATCTCTATCCCACTTACCTCTAACCCACTAACCTCTACCTCACTAATCTCTACCCCACTAATCTCTATCCCACTTACCTCTACCCCAACTAACCTCTACCCCACTAACCTCTACCCCACTAACCGCTACCCCACTAACCTCTACCCCACTAATCTCTACCCGACTAATCTCTTACCCACTTACATCTACCCCACTTACCTCTACCCCACTTACCTCTACCCCACTTACCTCTACCCCACTAACCTCTACCCCACTAACCGCTACCCCACTAACCTCTACCCCACTAATCTCTACCCGACTAATCTCTTACCCACTTACATCTACCCCACTTACCTCTACCCCACTTACCTCTACCCCCACTTACCTCTACCCCACTAACCTCTACCCCACTAACCTCTACCCCACTAACCTCTCCCCCACTAACCTCTACCCCACTAACCGCTACCCCACTAACCTCTACCCCACTAATCTCTACCACACTAATCTCTATCCCACTTACCTCTAACCCACTAACCTCTACCTCACTAATCTCTACCCCACTAATCTCTATCCCACTTACCTCTACCCCAACTAACCTCTACCCCACTAACCTCTACCCCACTAACCGCTACCCCACTAACCTCTACCCCAATAATCTCTACCCGACTAATCTCTTACCCACTTACATCTACCCCACTTACCTCTACCCCACTTACCTCTACCCCACTTACCTCTACCCCACTAACCTCTACCCCACTAACCGCTACCCCACTAACCTCTACCCCACTAATCTCTACCCGACTAATCTCTTACCCACTTACATCTACCCCACTTACCTCTACCCCACTTACCTCTACCCCACTTACCTCTACCCCACTAACCTCTACCCCACTAACCGCTACCCCACTAACCTCTACCCCACTAATCTCTACCCCACTAACCTCTACCCCACTAACCTCTACCCCACTAACCTCTACCCCACTAACCTCTCCCCCACTAACCTCTACCCCACTAACCGCTACCCCACTAACCTCTCCCCCACTAACCTCTACCCCACTAACCTCTACCCCACTTACCTCTACCCCACTTACCTCTACCCCCACTTACCTTTACCCCCACTTACCTCTATCCCACTAACCTCTACCCCACTAACCGCTACCCCACTAACCTCTACCCCACTAATCTCTACCACACTAATCTCTACCCCACTAACCTCTACCCCACTAACCTCTACCCCCACTAACCTCTACCCCACTAATCTCTACCCCACTTACCTCTACCCCACTTACCTCTAGCACACTAATCTCTACCCCACTTACCTCTACCCCACTTACCTCTACTCCCACTTACCTTTACCCCCACGTACTTCTATCCACTAACCTCTACCCCACCAACCGCTACCCCACTAACATCTACCCCACTAATCTCTACCACACTAATCTCTAAACCACTAACCTCTACCCCACTAACCTCTACCCCCACTAAACTCTACCCCACTAATCTCTACCCCACTTACCTCTACCCCCACTTACCTTTACCCCCACTTATCTCTATCCCACTAACCTCTACCCCACTAACCGCTACCCCACTAACCTCTACCACACTAATCTCTACCCACTAATCTCTACCCCACTAACCTCTACCCCACTAATCTCTACCCCACTAACCTCTACCCACTAATCTCTACCCCACTAATCTCTACACCACTAACCTCTACCCCACTAACCGCTACCCCACTAACCTCTACCCCCACTAACCTCTACCCCACTAATCTCTACCCCACTAACCTCTACCCCACTAATCTCTACCCCACTATTCTCTACCCCACTAACCTCTACCCCCACTTACCTCTACCCCACTAACCTCTACCCCCACTAACCTCTACCCCACTAATCTCTACCCCACTAATCTCTACCCCACTAACCGCTACCCCACTAACCTCTACCACACTAATCTCTACCCCACTAATCTCTACCCCACTAACCTCTACCCCACTAATCTCTACCACACTTACCTCTACCCCACTTACCTCTACCCCACTTACTTCTACCCCACTTACCTTTACCCCCACTTACCTCTACCATACTAACCTCTACCCCACTAACCTCTACCCCACTAACCTCTACCCCACTAACCTCTCCCCCACTAACCTCTACCCCACTAACCGCTACCCCACTAACCTCTACCCCACTAATCTCTACCACACTAATCTCTATCCCACTTACCTCTAACCCACTAACCTCTACCTCACTAATCTCTACCCCACTAATCTCTACCACACTTATCTCTATCCCACTTACCTCTACCCCACTAACCTCTCCCCCACTAATCTCTACCCCACTAATCTCTGTCCCACTTACCTCTGCCTCAAAAGCCATAATTTAATCCAATGGTCTTTAGCTAAGTCAACTTTACAAAGACTTTACCATTCATCAAACACATGAACACGGCTATGCAATAAAGACAGCTAAAAATAAACCGGGAGTGATCTCCACTAAACTTTCTCGAATATTCTTATATAACACAATGGGGGATAGCAACTCGGGATATAGACATGATTTTTGATCCATTTTTTACTTTCCCGTAGATACGAAGTAAAGATAAAGTCTTGTAATCGTGTACAAAAATCACATGAGATTTTGACAGTTTTCACCGCTTTACACCTCAGTCCTTCATCATATCCAGAGTATAGATGACTTGTTTTAATCGGGCAAAAATTATAAATCCAGATGTATCAAAACTTTGGCTTTTTATACGTAATCGAGTCTTAAAAACTGGGCTTTGTAATTCTGTCCGTGTGTGTGTGTGGGTGGGTGGGTGGGTGGGTGTGTGGGTGTGTGTCCGTGTGTAAACACGATAACTTAAGTACCATTACAGCAAGGTTGATGAAACTTCATATATATGCATTTTATAAAAATCGTAGATCCGTATAAACTTTTGAACGATTTTAAAAAAACCGGAAGTGGAACTTTTCTACTTTCAATTTTTCAAAGTCTATAACTTAGTACTATTTCAGATAAATGAAATTTCACTTGCAAGTAAAAGATCTAGGACTTTGCCTATTTTCAAATTTTGAATCATTTCCATTGACCGGAAGTAGTAATTTTTGCTATTTCCGATTTCTCAAAAAACACATGTGAATTTATAATGTACTAATAATATTCCGCACTATTTACTTCTATGTAAAATTTCATTCATCTATCTGAAACATTACTCAAGTTATAGGGTTTTGAAAAAATTAAAGTAGAATAAGTTCCACTTCCGATGATTGGAAATCGCTGAAAAGTTGATACAGAACCACAAATTTGATATAATATTTATGATGAAATTTCATCAACCTAGTTGTAACGTTACTCAAGTTATCGTGTTTACAGACAGACATAAACACGCACACACCATACGGACAAGATTGCAAAACTATGTTTTTCCGACTCAGGGAGGTTTACAAAGTCGAGATTTACAAAAATCTCGGTTTTTAGCACGATTACAATACTTTCTCAATACTACGTTTACGAGAAAGTAATAATGATATATTATTCACCATTACCATTAGGAGATTACAGCATTGTCTGTTTCCCTACCACACATTATTACTACAATCCCTCATCAATTACCAGTTAGATTAAAGACCCGCTATTAATTAAGGATGATATCTGTTGAATACTTTTTATTCTAATGTTTTTATTCAGGTAAAAATCGAAGAGGAAGTCTGCAGGAGACTTTATTGTCTAAAACCACAAAATTGGTTGTGCTACCCAAAAGGAGTTATGGAGGGCAGAGCTTGTGGCAGTGGAAAGGTACGTAATTTTGTTAAATTTTTAGTGGTCCAAATATTAAACAGGGCTATCTCTCAGTTGGGAGACAAGAAAGGAGAAGATTAAGGTCCCTAAGTAACTTCTCAGTTAGGAAAGCTAGTAATTTTGGGCTGTGAACATTTTTTCGACAGTTTAGGTCTTGCTCGGAAGGCCTTCTTTTTAGATTATTCATCTAGTCTAAGAGAAGGTGTCCTTTAAATTTTAAGTAAGCGACATCTAGCCAGGACTTCCGTCAAATGAGTCGGTTGTTGGTTGTTCCAACTCAGTGTTTGGGGACAGAGCAGAGGCATTGCAAGGGGGGGGGGGGGGGGAAAGGATTGCAGACCGCAACAGGTAACAGCATTAGGGGGGGGGGTGATGTGGCGAAAAGTTCCAAAATATGTAGAAGTTATATGCTTTTCGCCAGTTAAATTAAGGGTTAATATGAATTGATCCACTTGTATTAATAACTGACTGTAGATAAACATCTCTACCACTAACTGTGCTCACTTTAAAACTTTCATCGGGGGGGGGGGGGGGGGGGGAGGGGAGGGACAAGTTCGGGTCTCGGCTCGAGTCAGAAAACACCCAACTCTTTTGGGTACTTCTCTCACGTTACCAAAGCTAATCACTCCGTCCCCTCATTCGCAATGGGGACAGTAACATGTAAACTCTACCTCACCTGCGGGGTATATTCACTTGACTCAAAGGCCAACATAGAGAGACTAACATATTTCATAATTTACCTGAGTTTTACTCCAATTAACTTGATAACCGAACTCAAAGGCCAACCAAGAGAGGCTAAACATATTTCATAATTTACCTGAGCTTTACAAGAGAGACTAAACATATTTCATAATTTACCTGAGTTTTACTCCAATTAACTTGATAACCGTAAAATATGAACAGTGGCGGAACTAGAAAAAATGGGCCACCCCGCAAAAATTTTTTTTGGGCCCCCCATTTATGTATATATATATATATATATATATATATATATATATATATATATATATATATATATATATATATATATATATATATATATATATATATATATATATATATATATATATATATATATATACCGAGGGGTCTATGGGGGGTTATGACCCCCCCCCCCTGCCTACGCCACTGGCTAAATCACATATTTACCGTTAGGAGTCCCCACTCAAATATGTACAAATGTTAGGCCTATGACAGAAACCTTTGCGGGGTTGTACTCAACAGCTTCCGAAGTTTTCATGGCGATTGGGTGAATGATGCAGTAATGCATAATAATAATAGAGAGAAAAATGTTTTTCACATGTACAACTGTATGTGGCCAGGTCACGCTTTGGATAACCTTCTGATTTAGGGGAGGGGGGGATTAACAAAAAGCCAGACCCTCACACACCCCCACCTCAATGACTATTAATAATGTTCAATTAATTCTAAACGTTCTAATCAATTTCTGAATAATTATATAAAAAATAATCTTACCTGCCCTGTTTTGTGAATTAGATGTGCCTAATACTATGAAAGTAAATTAATATGTGTTGACTAGATCTAGTGCTGTCTAGTGTCTGACAAAATGAGCTGAAGTGGTGAATCGTACGGTTAGGAAGTAGTTCATAAACGATACATTTATGTCCTCGATACTTGTGAGGTTGAGAAAGAGGGATGGGATAGGGGTCGGCTCGGGAAAAAAACTTGAAAGGGACAACAAAACGCCTTGATCTATGTACGTCAGCATCGCCCATTGTAAAACTTACTCAGGGGAGATAATTTGAAGTATAGGCCTTAAAAGCTTACTATATTTCTTGTAAAATCAAAAACAAGTAAACGTATATAAAACTGAAGTTTCTAGTATTATATTATTTTTTTTAATTATTTGTACGATACAAGATAGTACAGGATACAAATTCAACCACTATCACAAACACATATTAACATTGAAAAATGTACAATGGATTTCGGGTCCCCCACCAATGCCGCAAATAAGAACAGCGCATCATGAAAGCCCACTTCATATGTAGCGGCTTTTCGTGCTATGGACTTTGTTGTTTTTTTAAAAAGAATTTTGCCGGCGACAGCGTGTGTTTGATTGTAGGGAAATAGAACTCGGCCTTGACGATGGTTAAAAAATACAACTATAAATAACTGTTTTAAATATGTAAAAAATTTGTCGAAAATTTTTTAACCCCCTTTTTGGCCCCCATCCCCTGCCCCATCCGCCCAGTGTTTCTTCCACTTTTTTCTCGGGGGGGGGGGGGGGGGGGCACTTGAAATTTTCGGGGGGGCGGTAGACTTTCTTCGGGGGTGGGGGGGCGGACACTGTTAAAAGTATATATTTTCTATATAAATTATATAAATCTCATTTCGTTCGGGGGGGGGGGGGGCGGTAAAAAATTTTCGGGGGTGCCCCCCCGAAGAGATGCCTGGAAGAAACTCTGCATCCGCCACAGTACACTTTGGAGGATCGGTCAAACAGTTACGTGTCCTCTTTTTAGCTATCAAAGGGAGGGGGGGGGGCAACGAAGTCAAAGAAGTCATTCAAAATTTGAAGAGTTGCCTATATTTTACACTGTAGTTTGTGTAATGGATTTTATCTTTTGCGGAAGAGCGTGGTATAGTGACTGTAAAATAAAGATAATCGTACCGCAGCTACAGTGTTTTTCTTTTACAAACCAAATATTAAGGCAACAATTAAATTCAAAATTAAAAAAAAAATATTAATTTTGGTCAGCCGTGGGCCCCTAAACGGCCTGCCCCCCCCCCACGCATTGCGGGGTCTGGCGGGACTGTAGTTCCGCCCCATGTTCATCAGGTAAATGAACAACTACTGACTAGTGTCTTTAACAAAATGTGCAGAACTGGTCAGTTTACAGTTCATAGACTGTTCGTGAATCTATGCATTACATCTTATTGTAAGAGTAAGGGTGTGGTGAGGGGTAGAGGTGAGGGGTAGGGGGGAGGGGGGGGGGAGAGAGTTGGGAAGGGAAGGGGACAAGAAAGCGCCGATAAACATCTACATCAATAGTGCCGACGTTTTCCGATCGTCTAGAAGACCAGGATAGTCGCCTTGCCGCAACATTTCCCCAGCCCGATTTCAAAGCGGACCGGCACAGTCAAATTTCAGATGCTTCGTCTTTGAAGTTGTCTATATGTCTGGCGGTCTCTCGAGCTATAGTCTGTGCATTTTTCTCAAAGACGTTTGCCGACTATCGTGTTTGTTTGTAACTGTAGAAGAAAGATAACTCGACCTCCACCTAATTTTTTTTTTTTTTTTTAAATAATTTAGCCAGGATTTTTGGGCCCCCAATTGGTCTGGCCCCCCCCGCATTGCGGGGTCTGGCGGCACTGTAGTTCCGCCCCTGAATATGAATATCGTTAATATGGCTAACATTAATTTTAATAATAAAAATGTAAGTTGGCCAGTATCTTTCCATACCTTTCTTGGTAGTGTAGCTGGAAAGCTTAGAATGTCAGGCACTTTTTTTCAACGATTGATATAATTAACCCATGGTACTGCTAGTGAGAGCTAATTCACAATAGAGACTCTATGTATAGCATTTAACATCAACCCATTTTATCGTCGCAAGCTAACGCTGGTCCAGACTTTTTACTTCCTGGTATAATTTTTTTTTCAATTTTTTTTTTAGATGTGAATGATTAAGTTGCCTATCCGAACTTGGCGGGAAACAGGACAGGCGAAGTAGAGTTCACCTGTTTCTGTGTCTTCAGCATATGAAGAGATAGTGTGGGCAGAGACATGTTCGGCCGGATTTTTTATTTTTTTAAAGATAAAAACACGTTGTCTGAGACTTGGCGGGACACTGGGCAGGTGAAGTAGAGTTGGGTAGTTGTAGAGTTCACCTAATGAACGTGATAATGCGTGTATAATAGTGCGGACTAGTTTGATACGACTGCCTGCTAATTTGGAAACAATTTTAATTAAATAATAAAAAATTATTTAGACATCCAATAAAATCAAATTAAAAGTCATATTGCATTTTTATGTCTTGACCCACGTGCCAACTTTGAACACAATCTATCAGAAGTGCTCGAAATTTCGCTCGGGTGTTTCGATCTAGACAGACAGACTGTCGACAGACAGACTGACGACAGACAGACTGTCGACAGAGGGAGTGAGTTAAATAAAAGCTTGTAAAAAACAGAAACAATAACTTCCATTTTCTAACATCCTTTGGGTTACTCATAGCATTGTTGGCAAGGGCGTTGTCTGGAGGACCCTGCAGCTCCAATTGACTGTAAGTTGTCAAATATATCTCCCATGTAAAAGCAAAGGTGTGTGTCTGTGTGGAGGGGGGGGGGGGAGCAGAGGTTAATAACATCTAAATCACACGATTTATTTTCAAACCAACTGGAAGACTGTAGCTATCCCAATAGTAACTTTCAAAGTGGACACATTTGACTGAGATTGACTGATAAACATAATTTATTATTTATTATTAGGTCCTTTCATTCGGGCCGAGGAGAGTTTTTTGTCCACGGACAAAAATGTTCATCAAGGACCTCCAGCTGCAGTTTCAGTCCCGTTTTTCTGACTTCAAAACCCATTTGAAGCAAATGTGACCAGTTGCCCAGATGAACTACAGCTGGAGGTCATTGAATTACAAGCAAAAAAAAAAAAAAAATGACCTCCTTAGAGACAAGTTCAAAGAAGGGCGGGTGGGTGGTTTTTTATAAGCTGTTAAAACACGTTTTTGCCCAAGGACGATTTTCCTAATATTAAAACTTTTGTATCAAAGTACCTTTCAAATTTTGGAACATGTGAACACACATTTTCAAGGATGATATACATGAATCACAATTTAGAGAACAAACTTGGACCTCGAGTGTGTTGTCGGCCACCGACATGGTTTCTTTCAGAGTTTTTACTCTGGGGAGGGAGTGGGGGACACTTGTGTATATTTCAATATAAATTTTATTTCGTCTAGGGGGCGGTAGACATTCTTCGGGGGCGGGGAGGGGGGGGGGGAGGGGCTCTGCCACCCCGAAGAGATGCCTGGAAGAAACTCTTTCCTACTAACTGATATAATTTGATAGTTAATGCTGTCCACAGTTATCTAACTAGATAACGGGTAGTCTAGTGTAGTATATATATATATATATATATATATATATATATATATATATATATATATATATAACGTGTGTGTGTGTACACAGTTAGTTATTTAATTATATAATTAGAAGTATAGAATTATATTTGTATCATAATTATATTATATGCTAATTATTTCTAAAACCGACTCTAGTGAGCAATTATTGTTTACAGTGATAGCTCAGCTATTTGCATGGACATTAGAAGCTGGACGAGAATTAGTGGTACCTAGGTATGTTTTTTTTATATAATTTATCGTAGGCCTATATGTAAAAGCCCATGTGCGCTCTCTCTCTCTCCCCCTCTCTCTGTCCGTCAAATATATATTCGCAGGTTATCACATCAGTATCTTCAGTGATTTTTGGAGAACTTGAAACGGAATTTTGTTGAAAGTAATATGTTAGATGTTTTAAATGTATAAGTAGCCTAAATAGCTGAGATGATAGAGTAATTGATACGATCGGGGGTGGTACGGGTTCGAGACACACCAAGTCAATTTTTTTTTCAATTTTTTTAATATGTGTTTGATAAAGTTGCTTATCAGAGCTTGGCGGGACATGGGGCAGGTGAAGTAGAGTTCACCTGCTCCTGTCTTTTCGGCATATGAAGGGATAATGTGGTCAGACCCACGCTCAGCCGAAATAGGTGTTTTTAAAAGACAAAAACAACATAACTACCATTGAACAGCCGGGGTTTTAACGAAATCTTTTAAATCTCTTAATTTTAAGTCTCATAATCCGCGAGTACATTTAATATGGTATTGTATTGACTAATACTTTATATAATTTGGTATTAATTTTTTAAATAGGTTGTGCCTTTTGGTGGTCTATGTTATTTTAAACAAGTATAAACATAGACAGTACTTAAAACAAAACCCCTTCTTTTTCATAATCTTAACAATGTTTCATTCCACTGCTCTTGATCAATAAAATGTTTCTTTTCCTAAGTTTCCGATAATGAATTAAAAAAAAATTACAATTCTTTTCATTACTCACTTTCCGTAGATATATACATTTTCTTCAGGCAGCTACCAATTCTTTCCCTTTCATCTCCGAATGATCTCCGAACGAGGTTGAAAAAAGTGGTTCATAATAAAATATAGAGAAACCAGTACCCGCTACCCCCCCTCCCCCCCCCCCCCCCCCCCCCCCCAGGCACGCACATCGCCACACCCTACTCCGGACAGTTTTAAACGCCGCTACCCGGAGGTAAATATCTCACAGAAAAACCGGGTAGCCTTTTGTAAAGAGAAGAGAGCCAAAAGTCACCAGAATAGCCAGTGTAATGGGTACCGATGGCTAGTTGTGTATATAACCAACTTTCTGCCAACAAGCCATCTCAATCGACCTGCTAACATGAAATCGATACTTCTCTTTTTGCTTTTTCATTTTTACTTTCTCGTATATACGTAGTATAGAGAAAGTATTGTAATCGTGCAAAAAAAAAATCGAGATTTTTACAAATCTCGACGTTTTACACCTCACTGATACGGAAAAACATAATTTTGCAATCTTGTCCGTATGTCTGTGTGTGTGTGTCTGTGTGTGTGTCTGTCCGTGTGTAAACACGATAACTTGAGTACCGTTACAGCTAGGTTGATGAAATTTCATATATAAGTATTTTATCAAAATCGTAGATCCGTATCAACTTTTGAGCGATTTCCGATAACCGGAAGTGGTACTTTTCCTACTTTGAATTTTTTAAAAGCCTATAACTTGAGTACTATTTCAGATAGATAAATGAAATTTCACATGTAAGTAAAAGATCTAATTCTCTACCTTCTGTTAAATTTTGAGTAATTTCCGTTGACTGGAAGTAGTAATTTACGCTACTTCCGATTTCTCAAAAAACTAATGTAAATTTTAAAAGTACTAATAATATTGCGCACTATTATGCGCTTTTTTTATTTGCGTTCACTTGGTGTGCAATTAATTTGTCTACGAGATTTTATTCTATTTTTAAAACTTTAAGTATTTAAAATGGATTAAAAATCATGTCTATAGCCCGAGTTTCCATCCCCTGTTATTTTATATAAGAATATTCGAGAAAGTTTAGGGGAGATCACTCCCGGTTTATTTTTGGCGAAGTTTGATTCCTTAAATTAAAAATAAATGTTAGAGAAAATAAAGTGTACACAATTTAAAAAAAAAATAATAATTGAAATTTTAAAAAGAACTAAAATAATTCTTGATTGCAACCCATTCGGTATCCGTTTCCTTTTCCTTGTTTACTTGGTGACTAGAAATTTTCAGCTGACAAGATTGAGGAAGCTTAAAAACAGAAAAAAAATAATTTTAAAAGTGAAATTTTCATTTAAAAACAAAGAAGGTGTACCAACAATAGAGTTGTTTTTGTCATTTCTAATTACTATACTTTAAATAAAAAAATGAATAAATTCAAACTTTAATCATAATATAAAAATGATTGTGTTCATATGTCTACTACTTGTATAACTCCAGTAAGGGACTGCACAGTGAGCATAAAGCAAACTTAACAGTCCATAATAGTTTATGATTGTGGTATCATCAACTACTAAATCAAAACAGTTGGTTATGCTTGTGGACTATAAAAATATTTAATTATGGTGATGAACAAAGCAAGGTTCATAATTTTAAAACATAAAACCAGATATTAAATAGTTTATAAACGGTAGATTATTTTCGACTAATCAAATATATCCTTTTTGCTTCATACTGCATTTTCGTGAATGATTTTTCCTAGTTCTTGTCGCTAAGGGTAGTCATGTCTCAACCAGCCATAGGATGTTTTATATATATATATATATATATATATATATATATATATATATATATATATATATATATATATATATATATATATATATATATATATACTCAGATATGTGTGTATGTTATATACTTCTATGTGTGTGTTTGTGTGTACATAAGGATTGTACATTCATGCACACTCCAACCAAAACTTAAACTCAGACATGTGTGTATGTAATGTACTTGTGTGAACTTGTTCCACGAAATATTGCACCCACCTCCATATTGTCTGTATTTTGACCCCTATACATACATTGTTCAATTTTCTTTAACAGGTTTAAAAATAACGTGACGGAGAGATGTTCGCTGACAGGTTACTCTTTAAACTTGTGCAACGACATTGATCTCCGTTTAAATGAAATGGTTGTGTCTCCAAAACATATAATCACCATTGTGATTACATGCCTACTGGTTTTTGGTAAGCCACTTTCTGTTTATATGTTAAGCTAGTTAGGAAACAGTGGGGTAGTACATTTTACTTAATTATTTCTTATACAAATTATAGTTTTCACTTTTATTTCTTTTTGAGCATTCAAATGGACTTTTTTTTGCAGGTGCATATTTCCTTCCCAACATAAATAATGAAAGGATAGGCCTACTTAGGTAATAGATTTGTGCTTTAGTATTTAATGTAATTAATACTTGTTTTAATTCTGGAGGTTATGTGAGAGTCTGTGTTGTTAATTTATTTATTTAAAAATCTTTTTAGTGGAATTACAAAACCTATTACAATGTAGTGGAGATGTGTGTAGGTTTGAGTATATTTGCTATTACTAATCACATTTTCTTTCAGGCGCGGTTGATGCACAGATGTTTTTGTCGACGACAAACCAGTCACAATTGGCAAATGGGACTCTGGAGCTTTGAACAATTGTTTAAATGATGCTGCTAAGCTGGTTCTTGTGGAAATGTGGAGCTTTGAACAATTGTTTAAATGATGCTGCTAAACTGGTTCTTGTGGAAATGTGGAGCTTTGAACAATTGTTTAAATGATGCTGCTAAACTGGTTCTTGTGGAAATGTGGAGCTTTGAACAATTGTTTAAATGATGCTGCTAAACTGGTTCTTGTGGAAATGTGGAGCTTTGAACAATTGTTTAAATGATGCTGCTAAACTGGTTCTTGTGGAAATGTGGAGCTTTGAACAATTGTTTAAATGATGCTGCTAAACTGGTTCTTGTGGAAATGTGGAGCTTTGAACAATTGTTTAAATGATGCTGCTAAACTGGTTCTTGTGGAATGTGGAGCTTTGAACAATTGTTTAAATGATGCTGCTAAACTGGTTCTTGTGGAAATGTGGAGCTTTGAACAATTGTTTAAATGATGCTGCTAAACTGGTTCTTGTGGAAATGTGGAGCTTTGAACAATTGTTTAAATGATGCTGCTAAACTGGTTCTTGTGGAAATGTGGAGCTTTGAACAATTGTTTAAATGATGTTGCTAAACTGGTTCTTGTGGAAATGTGGAGCTTTGAACAATTGTTTAAATGATGCTGCTAAACTGGTTCTTGTGGAAATGTGGAGCTTTGAACAATTGTTTAAATGATGCTGCTAAACTGGTTCTTGTGGAAATGTGGAGCTTTGAACAATTGTTTAAATGATGCTGCTAAACTGGTTCTTGTGGAAATGTGGAGCTTTGAACAATTGTTTAAATGATGCTGCTAAACTGGTTCTTGTGGAAATGTGGAGCTTTGAACAATTGTTTAAATGATGCTGCTAAACTGGTTCTTGTGGAAATGTGGAGCTTTGAACAATTGTTTAAATGATGCTGCTAAACTGGTTCTTGTGGAAATGTGGAGCTTTGAACAATTGTTTAAATGATGCTGCTAAACTGGTTCTTGTGGAAATGTGGAGCTTTGAACAATTGTTTAAATGATGCTGCTAAACTGGTTCTTGTGGAAATGTGGAGCTTTGAACAATTGTTTAAATGATGCTGCTAAACTGGTTCTTGTGGAAATGTGGAGCTTTGAACAATTGTTTAAATGATGCTGCTAAACTGGTTCTTGTGGAAATGTGGAGCTTTGAACAATTGTTTAAATGATGCTGCTAAACTGGTTCTTGTGGAAATGTGGAGCTTTGAACAATTGTTTAAATGATGCTGCTAAACTGGTTCTTGTGGAAATGTGGAGCTTTGAACAATTGTTTAAATGATGCTGCTAAACTGGTTCTTGTGGAAATGTGGAGCTTTGAACAATTGTTTAAATGATGCTGCTAAACTGGTTCTTGTGGATAAAATGGGGTATACATGGTGCCATATGCTTATGAATGGCCGACTAATAATATGTTAAAAATGTAAAATATTTAGATTACCTGATTAATGTATAAAGTTTGATATTCGTTCTAGAATATAGTTAAAGTTCCAGGACTATTAGACTATTGTTTTTAAAATTTCTATTTGATATGATCTAACAGTCTTTTTTGTTTCGTTGCATTTCTTGTTTACTTTTTTAAAGTCACTACTGTTAATAATTAGTTATCTATTCTACAATTTATATAGAAAATCTTGCTTATTATAATTACCGTTACAGATTTAAATATTTTTCTCAATTTTTTTGCAAGTTGTTTTTTTATAACTATATGACTTTGCTAAATGAGCTCATGAAGATGTATGATTGGTTATCATTTAGTTTTATCACAAAATATTAAGAAAAGAGCTGCGAATAGGCTGCATCACCTTCCATGTATTTAGTACATTTGCTTGTATGGATACATAAGTAATTTATTTTTCCAAAGATAAATTTGTTGTTAAATGCATTTGTTTTGAAAGTATGCTAATGATTTTTTAGTTAATTTAAACAAATATTAAATTGATGTTTTAAAGATGAAAGAAATTTTTTCTAAATAAAATAAAACAATATCATCCTTATATGAAAATTAATAATGTTACTCACATCTGTTTATATTTATTGATGCTCATATAAAATTGAAATTTATTATTTTCTTATGTTATATAATGTTAGTATCTGTGCTGTTAGAGAATTAAATACATTTGAATTGATGATGGTTTTTTTCATTCTTCTTTTGTTCATTCTTTTAAGATACAACTGTTAAAATTTCACAGTCTAATGATTTTAGCAGCCAATTTGGTAATTGTAATATTTTTTCTTTATATTGGCATATGTTCTTTTCTAATACATTTTTTGTACAAAAAATATATATACCTCACATATCAATGTAAAAATGTGTGCTACCATATACTTATAAGCAAAAATCTAAGAGGTATCTCAAGCCATTTTATCAAAATTTCTTAGTATAAGTCACAGAGTTTATTTTTCTATTTTACCAATATACCAATATTTGGTTTTTTAATATACATTATGAATATATACTAAAAAAAATTAGGCCAAGAGTAAACTAAGCTGCATAGACCTTTCCATTAGGTTTTCTAATCATTTTTAAAATCGAATTTTTTCAGTCAACGCTACTGATTTTAGTCATTATGAAGTATATGAATCAATTTCCGATACAATTTAAAAAAAAATGTTCTAAAACGCGAACTAACGGCTGAAATTCAGCTTCTAGCATGACTTTAAAAAAATACAACATTGTGATGTCACAGTTTCTGTTTCCCCATCCTCCCCTCATCACACTTTCTTTTGCCCCATCCTCCCCTAATCCTCTCATCACACATCGTCACACAATTCCGCCCCCCCCCTACCCCTATAGTGGTGTGGACAACCGTAGCAACTAGGTCTGTTTATCCTGAGTTCTGTACAACAAGAGCGGCCACTCTTAACTGGTCTCTAGTGAGTTAGTCAATACCTGAAGTTGTCGCCCTTTGATGGGGAGCTCTTACACATATGAGAGATCGAGCTCACGATATACAACAACACTAGCCGGTACTGAACAACTAGCATACAAGTAAATGTGTCACTTTCTTACAAATGGTCATCAAAACTCTAATTTCTCTTAAGAATTTTTTTTGTGCCGCTCGCTTTTATGTATAATTACTAATCGAAGTTTATATTTCTGTATATAATTGCAAGTTATTTGAATAATTTTTGCATATGTATCTTTTACTTTCGCGTGTGTACAAAGTTTTATGATTCATACATTAAACTCTATTTGAATGCACTCAATGTGTGTTTTAAAGTAAAACTAAAAATGTATATATTTAATATGATTAAAAAACAAATGAATAATTAGACAAATAATGACAAATATTGATGTCGAATTTCACGCACATTGCATTGTCAGCGGAGTTAGATCTTCGTAAAATCGGTTCAAAAGAAAATTTCTTCACAAACTACGGCGGACGAGGAATGAAGTTTATGAACTGACCATCGTGTATAAAACAAACGATTACCTTTGTGTAATTAAATAAACAAACACACAACACAACTCTGACAATAAGGTGTAATGTCTTGACTTGACTGAATAAAACAAGGCTATTGCTTCATACTATTTTTTTTTATTTGTGTTTACATAAATGGCGTCACACGGGGGAGTTTGTGTGTGGGGGAAGGGGGCAGTACCTGATATTTTAGTGACGATGTTTGACGACTGGGATTTTATAGGGTTTAGAGAAGTAGCAGACGCATTTTGGAGTTATTGAAAAAGGTGATGAAAAGTACGTGAGAGTTATGGATGGTGAAAGGGGGAGATGGAGGGGGACGGTAGTGTATTACCTCAGTGCAGGGGAGGTTTGAATTATTGTGACGATGTGTGACGATGGGTGACGGCGTGTGACGGTTGGGAAGGATTGGCTCTATAAGCATGTCGACAGACAGGAACGTTATTGGTTTGTCGTTTATGGTTATAACATTGAATTTGACTCTCTGTACCTCATTGTGTGGTTTAACAAATTTGGCTTTATATACTTTATTATATGGTTTAACAAATTTAGCTTTGTAAAGCTTATTGTTAGGCAGAGCTTGCTCCGATGTTAGGCCGATATGGATATTATATTTACTAGACATATATTTCAAATTTCAACCATATATATATATATATAAATATATATATATATATATATATATATATATATATATATATATATATATATATATATATTGTACTTATAAATATATATACATATATACCGATATGGATATATATATATATATATATATATATATATATATATATATATATATATATATATATATATATATATATATATACATACAATTGTTATAGTACTAGACGACTTATATATCATAGATTTTGCAACCAACTAAACTCAAGCTTCCCAGACAGAAAAAAAAATTATTACAGTTGAATGGTTGGACCAAAATATCTTGTCCCTTTCGCTTGAGTATAAATATAAAAGGCAATTCGTTCGTTCTTTACGCTTAGCTTTGGGCATTATTAGCTGAATTTAACAATGCTATTTTTATTGTAAGCAAACGTCGGGCAATCAAAAGCCACATACGGAAGATATTGGTGAGTCATTAGAACTAGAAACGCCTGGCCAACGACTTGCCTCATTTGAATATTTCTCATGAATACGTGAACAGATCGGCCTGGGATTTCTTTCGGTTTTTTTTTCACCTTTATTTTCGATTAGTTTCTACTGATGTGGACCAGGTTTCTCACTGTTGAGTTGGTTCTGTATTCATTATTCTAGAAGTGGGAAGAGGGAGAGAACAGATATTTAAAGCTAAAATACTTTTAAAGTCTAGAACAGGATGGCGAAAAAGAAAGATTTTTTTTTTACTGCTGAATAATTTAAATTCTAGAATAGGGTAACGGTAGTGCCAGATTTTCGCAGATGGATACTTTAAATTCTAGAACATCGAGACGTATAAAAGTAAAGTGAAGAATCCTCTTTAGACCCAGCGATCCAATGGGCAGATGAAGTAGAGTTCTTGACCTCGGAATATGAAGGGAAGGTGTGGTCAGCACTTTGCCCAGCCGCCTTTACTTTCACTAACATGAGTTAGGTACCCATATAAGCTAAGGTGGACTCAGGGACGTTCTACTGACTTGACCCGGACTCGAACTCGAGATTTTCAGGTTAGCAGCCTAGCTAGACGTATAGTCCAGATGTTGAGAGCTGGAGTACTTACATTTTTTTGTTTGGGTGTTCCTTTTGCAACATGTCTGGTGCAATGTTTTGTATTAAGTGCCTGTAAATTAAATATAACAAAAAATGTGTTGGAGGCTGTTGATGCACGTACAAAACCATGTGGTCGTATATGTCCACGCCGATGGTGGTGTGTGAGTTTTGTGTCTGTATGCTTTGTATGATGGCGTTGTCGGCGTGCGTGAGGCAATAGCAGGTGTTTAGGAGTGTGTTGTAACGTGGCAAGTTGT